AGTGTGAACATTCAAGCTTTAGATGTGGAGGAGAAAATACATCTGCGCCATTGTGATCGATTTTCAGATATGTCGCCATGGCTGTCACACCCTCATCCAGTCAGGTGAATGACTTTATCGTAGCGTAGCAATATACACTATAATGGTAACTGCTTTTTGTTTATCAATATTCAATGGACCTTTCTAGCGTGGTAGGACCTCGAAAGAACAAGCATCCCACCAGCACAGCTGGTTGGGTCATTGTGAAATACAACCCCGACCACTACATCAATGCAGCAGCTACTGGTCAGGCACAGATTTCAGGGGAAATTTATTCGAGATCGGTGACAGTGCCTTGGGAAGTTTTGGATTCCTATTTAGCTAATGCTTTACTTCGAGAAAAATGCACACAACCGCCACCCAAATAACACAGCGTAAGGAGTGAGTTGTTATTGAACAAGTTTTAGTAACCTCTCAAGGAACCTCGTGAGGGACATTTTACTTGTCACACGTCACACAGTCAGCAGTATGACTAAACATCCGAACCCCAGTATGACATTGACTGTTCACACTACGATAGTAGCTGCTGTCAGTTTTGTCACTATTCAAACTCTTCTAACATGACAAAACCCAAAAGAACAATTGTTTCAGCATGGCTTGTTGGGTCACTGCGATAAGCAAAGCCGAACATGTCAAGATAGCAGCTGTCGGCTAGGATCTTATAGATTTCACCACAATGATGAGGACACTAAAATATGATGAATACAACTTAACTCACATGCATTTTAGACACAAAGCTATAAAACACACTTAATGTATGATGGTTTATGGTATGACCCGGTAGCCTGAAATGAAATAGATGCAGGATCTTCATCTCATGATTCATTGTTTGGAAGTCAGATGCTTAAGCCAATGAGACTATCAAAGTTGTATTTACAGCAGAACTGACGTTACTCACATAGAGGAAACCTGGTAGTATCTCCAGTCTGCTGTAAAACAGTAACGAAGACTGCAGCTGTCATTGGGATAGGTAAGCCTGATCATCATAATGAAGTAGCGGTTACGAAATAGATCAGTGCATAGTCAATGTGCAAACACATACTACACAAGGAGTGACAATACTTTCTCAACCATCTCTAGATACAGACGAGCAGTATTGTGTGCATCCACCGTTCAAGTACGTGAATGCCATATCAGACAGTTAGTCCTTGTCTAAAGTTTGTGTCGACTATACATCGGTAATTTTCTGAATACATTTGTTTCACACAATAAACAATAACGAACCACTTAAATGAGATTTCGAAAGTATCACCTAAGTGCCACTGTCAACTACGAGGAGGCTTAGTAGCTTTTGATTAAACTCATACTTCTGCAATCGGAACTGCAATCCCTAGGTGTAGACAGCGACTACAAAAAAGGTATTCGTCAGCATCACACTTCTAAGTTTTTGATCTATTATTTGATTAAACAGTACACAGACAACTGTTAACTGGGATCCAGTAGAGAAGTACGCTTGCTGCTTTAAGATTCAATCCTATCTATCGTTTCAGAACCATAAGAACTAGCCGAGATCCTAGACACCGGGAAAGGTGAACTTCTGAGACTCATTACATTGGTCAAGTAAGTTAAAGTGAATGACCACACCTAGGTTACGTATGTATGTTTCATAAACACAGTTGGCAAAGACTTCCGTTCGATTTGATGAAAAGCGGAAAACTGAAAGGTTTAACATGTAGTTTGGGGTAAAGTTTAAGATGACCGGGTATGCCATTCATCGGCTGAGGAGCTCAAAGATGAGGAAAATATGGGACTTCTACTCAAGAAATGTTAGGAAAATCTAGGTAGCAACGAGGTAAAAGTTTGGTGTCCAAAAACAGCTAATTACTGGGAGTGTGTAGGCTTTTGACACTTTCCGGTTAACCATGTTGCGAAAGGTTACTCCTATCTACTTGAGCGGAGCTGTGGCTTGTCCGTCAAGGCACTCAACCTCCAACCAGTGGGTAATGGGTTCGAATTCGATTCCGCCTACTAAGGTATGGAAAACCAGGTAGTATCATTATCCCTCACAGATTAGATATAGTCCATTGTCTACTGCCTGAAGGTGCATGTAATTGCTGAGTCCATTTCATGTATTATATCCTGCTTGAGAATAATAAAAGGGAATGAATTAGGAGTGTTAGGGTTCCAAGAATGTGGTAGCTGGGTGGAAAGGATAGCTCCTCGAGGATTTCATGCATGGTCGTTTGCGGCGTTTCCATTTAGATTCAGCAGTTACTTTCAAACATCGAGAAGTTGAAACCGTCGGCATCGGAAGATTATAGGATAGGGAAGAGTGAAATGCATCCAGGAACGACTTTTCCTACTCCTCATCCAAAGACGGAAGGCAGTATCAGCTTTTACTGTTAGCTATTCTCGGGAAACGTTTTCTTAGTGCCACCCTCTGCTAGTCAACACTACGACGCCATCTACGGTTGAAATACAGTTTGAGCATAAAAGCTTAAGCAGGTGCTTTTCTTTACAATCACTTGCCAAAGGGTTGACTTGAACCTTAACCCACAAAATAGCGGAACAACGTTAGTAGTGCCAAAGACTAGAGTATTCCCACGCGGTTTGTTTTTATTTTTAACATCTGCAGCACTATTTCCGCAACTGCTATTGGTCAACATTTTGTATTCAAGGCTCAAGTTAAAGTGACTCACTTGTTCTCGCTTTTTAACTTAGATAAGCACAACTGCTATTTTAAGGCAGTGGATTGGATTTCCTCATATCTATATTCCTCAGACGAATAGTGTATATCTTGTGAGATTGCTAATCCAATAATAGGGTCAAACTGACTATAAATAAGTAATTAAAATCGTATCTGTAACAGCTTGAAGCATTTACAGTTTATACTGTTAATGAATTTAATCAAATTTGATCAAAAACACTAAACGTGTGACATGACAAATTAATGGGGTTAGACTTTTAGTATCATGATGTTTAAGCGAAACCCCTTATCAAATGATGGCACTACAAAATCTGAAATAAAAACACTAATGACATACTGCTAGCAAATATACAACTAACAGGTTCAGTTAACTAAAGTAACATTATCTAAGTAAGGGCATCGACCTATAAACACTGAAAACGTAGAAGCTACAACATTGCATTTGAAACTGTTGATCTGGGGAGCTTAGGAAACTGGTTACATAGGTTTCATGAGACAATGAAACTCAGTACTGTAAAGACTGAATTCGGTAAGTCTACATAAACCAAATCTGCAAACTCATTTACTGTCTTTCGTTGAATCTTAAAATTATTATTTTACTCTGATCATTTATGCCAAATCTTATATTGTACTCCTCACTCGCTTTTTCCTGCGTCCTGCAGAGTGCAGTAAACTGGGACTGACAGCTATTTTACATAGCCTCTTGGTTGTTGTAAACAGATAAAGATAAGAGAATAACAACCTATTTTAATAAATCTCACCAAAATATGTGTAAAGTTGAGCAGTGTGGGAATTGTAACGCAGAATATACAAAAACATCACACAGTTATCTTATAATTTATTCTGCATATATTTTCATGTCTTATATACATCGGAAGCAACCATCAGCAGTAGTTAACTATAGCATGGAAATACAACTAGACGATGTCCGTACCAGAAATTATAAGAGCTAGGGCTAGTTGCAACCGCTGTATTCAACCTTACTTGATAATCATATCAAAATATTAGAAAAGTAAGCTTATCTCTGAGCAGGCAGAATGACTTACTTGGATCTCAACAACTTCTTCTTCAACCTCTGAAGTTAGTCTTTCCACTTCAGATTGTTTTTTGCTGGCACACTTGCGAGCATATCTTCTATTTTGCAAGCGGCGTCTACGATTCCGAAGTTCTTTGTGTTCCTCAATTGTTACACGATTTTGCTCTAATAACAGTCGAAGGTCAGAGGTTGTCATATTGACTAATTCATCATCCGTAAAGTTTAAACTCATCGTGGTTTCTAAAAAATCAACCTTTTGTATTTGATAAAGTTTCACATAAACAGTTGAAATTTTACGTACAGATATGCATGACTACATTATTTTTGCTGCCTATTAGGGACACAATTATATGACAAATCACTCTAAAAACTTCAATTTATAAGACGTTTTCTTATGGAGTTCCTTAGCCAAGCATGAGAAGTTGAAAGCGCAATGCATTTCAAACTAAGTTCTCTACACGTATTTAAGGACCTGGATGATAAGCATTGCAACGCGTGAATCCATCTATTTAAAGGATTGGAGTATGCGCATCTTAAGAAACATCTTCAGTAACTAAGTGGTAAAACAACCCACTCAATAGAATGATAACCGAACACATACGAATGATTTTTGAGAAATCTGTCACCATAAATACAGCTGCTAACTTGACCTAGTGGTTAGGTTTTTCTGTGACAATGACACAGGGCTATACGGGTAGGAATATCTGTTCGTCCCCAGGTACAACTATACCAGAAAGGTCTGTTGAATAGTAGTGAGAAAAAAGCAGTCGCCACTAAAGTGTCTATAGACTACGCTATAATGGGGGTTCGATAGCGAGGGCATACCGCTGGCTGGATGAGGTGTGACGGTAGCTAGGTGTTTCCCTTGCATGGCCATCAGTTTATTGCTGGTGCTGTTCTCCTTAGAGGAAGAGGTGAGGAGCTGAAAACAGTCGGCTCTTCTGCGACGCAAAAGTAATCCATTTTCTTTCACAGGCAACTCACAGAAACGACTTTTTCTATGTCAGCACTGGATAGCAGCAACCACCACACCAGCAACATAAGCAAAAACTAACAATAAAGAGTGAGGCTAAAAGTTATCCTCAGGTGTTATAGCGTTTTATGTGAAAATGCGTTTTCTGTGTTCGGTATGCATATATTCTGAGGTGAACACTGCAATTGTTATAATTTGAAGCCTCAACTTACTCACTATGATCTGTTAGCATCATTCATACTGAATAGCTATACTTACTTTTCGCCTAAGAAAAGGAAGTGTAGCCAATACTTCGCATATGAATAAACGGCATGAAACACGATTCGATGATAAACAACACTGTAAAAACAACAAATATGTAAAATTTTCATACAGAACACATAAAATATGTGCATCTTCACAAAAACGATACACTCTAGGACAGGCCCGATAACTCCTGAGGATAACTTTTAGCCTCACCCAACAATAACACCTACCTTACCTTCGTCTCACTTTGTCTTTACTTCGCATACCACTATTACGCCTCCTGCAGCTTCCTCAATTTCTCACCCTACGACAATGCTTAAGATTTAGGCCAGCGAAACACCATGCTAAGTCTCCGGAAACCATAAAAGCTTTCAACGTTCGATACCATGTGAAATCGGATAATAAACATAGTGCGCTAAAACTCCGAAATCTGAAGTGATAAATGAGTATCATGTCTCCGATACGCATATCAATATCATGTGCTTGAAAAAATAACTTCAAACTATATAACCCTGATCTAATCACGACTCACTTCCTGCCCGCCTCACTTATTGTAATACTGCTACACTTACTACGCTTTACACAGACCCACGAATGGCCGACTGACCTAAGTGCAAGACAAAATATTTGCAAACCTTCAGGTTTCAGTCTTTCGTCTCTTTTCTTCTTACAACAGAAAAAAACCCAATTCGTTGTCCTTATTTTCATGCGATTTCAATTATACATACATTTAACTATTAGATTTCAAGAACACATGAAAAGGGAAAAACTGGTTTCACACAGAGAAACTAGTGTAAAACACAACGATCAGTTTCATTAAACATGCAATTATTTCGCAACCATGAGTCGTAAGATGAGTGGAGTTAGTAAGAAGCACTTAATCTGAGCTATACAATAATAAAAATTGATTGTTGAGGTAACTTGAACGTCCACTGCACGTGGTGATCCACCGCTTACCTCAACATGCCATGCCAAGGAAGATTGGATTAAGTTGAGAGTTCATGGTGACCAGATCCATACGTGGTACTAGTTCCCAAAGTCTCTGAATGTTGCTCTGAGCGATGTGACGAGATGTTAACTACCTGGCGGAGGTTCCTGAGATAATAGGAATCAGCGGTTGAGGACTCTTAGTAACGTGGCTGAAAATCGACCACATTGGTGCAGATGTATATACTTCTTCACATCTAAAGCTGAATATTTGCACTAACTGTTACCATTACATGGTTCCTTTTCTCAAACATCTCTGCGTACCGTGACATCACTTTTTGTCCACCTGTTCTTCGCATACTATTGTGAAGTGTGGCAACTTGGACTAATGCACTGTGTGAGGTTCTACGTTGGTTCTCTCTGAATACGATGAGCAATTAGAAAGTCTCCAGACTATCCATAGATTTCGCCACTCAAACTACAGTGATCTAAACATTCGCTTCCCCCTGTTCAGTTAATTAACGCCCAAATTCAGCCTAAGGAGCCGAACTGCTCAGATAGACTAAATTTCGCCGACCAACATCAGTATGATCAATTAGTAAACTTCCTCATCAATAAAATAAGCTAAAGGAGCTCATATCTAATTTCCATTGGATAGTTAACACTTCACTTACCTTAGCCAATAATACCTGACCAAAGTCCTTAAACACCTGTGGTACGACCCCACTGGCGTCTGCTGCCCTTCCTTTTCTAGGCTATTTACAGTTTTATTAACTCCTGTTAGTAAGACGACCTATCCGAAATTCCCAATCAGGTTATGACTGGACAGCAGGAGACAATAATAGCTGGGGACGAATTTAGTATGTAGACTAAGATGACTATGTGTTGAAACATCTGAACCTTGTGTACGGATTCTAAAAATCACCTAGGGTCATGAGTCACTGGTTTCTGTCGTCACACAGGTTTCGTCTATGAATTCTACATTTCGTAACAGGGCTCGAACCAAAAGTCGGAGGATTCGCGGGCTGCTACCATATTTTAATCAAACCATCATTAACCTTTTTCAACCTGAATTTACTTTAGCCAACATGAGATGAGGCAAGGGAGGACAAAGCATGCGTGAAACGTATCCTAGCTAACTGAGTTGGTAAGACCTCACAATTGACTTTTATATTCTCCAATACCAAATTTCATAATTATCTCATTCCACCTAGTTGTCTTTTCGCGACTAACACAACTGCTTTCTTCCTTATTTCATTCTCGCTTGGTATGATGATACAGGGTGTAGCAAGATGGGCCGTTAAACCGTAATGCTGTCCCATGCTGACACTGACCGACTGAACATACTCCAGCAGTCAAGGTCATGATTTTCTCTACAATCAAGCACAACAAGTGTGTTTTTATGTGTTGCGGTTTGTTGCAATGGGCTAGAGTTGGTCCATGCAAACTGTAGATATTTTGAAAATGCTTATTTTTAGTCTTCTGACTCAGGTGCACCTACACAAAATAACAATGATGTTTGGGCTATAAGCCACGCTTGTCTACGTTTATGACAGTCATCGTTGAGGCTCATTTTTATCACTTGAGTGTGGAACACATGGATTGAATTTAGGGAGTGAGAATTTATGTGCCCTAGTTCTGTATGTACAGAACTAAGTAACATGGTGCCTGGAGGTCAACAACACCCATGAGCCTACAATGCCGTCTGGCTGTTATGTTGCCATCTGAAGGGGGTTTTGAATCAGTAAACTACTGAGGTAGCTGGTCAACGAAAGGATTAGCATACATTCAACAGGACAATTATTAGGCTCCGATAAATTGTTCACAAAATTTTAACATGATGTAAGTTCAGTGAACGGCAAGTGTGCGTTTGGAATTATACATCCAAATACCAACTGCATTACGATTGCTAAACCACGTGGTGAGAAATGGGATGACCGAGAACATCAGAAATACAACTCGACTAAAACAGGTTTACACTGTTGGTAACGCTGTTAACTCTCCTCAAGTACAGGTTTAAAACGGATTTCCGGAATTAGGCAACTGTGGCGCATGAATTCACTCCTATGAAAACAGCTGTTTTTCAGAATTAATTCAGTCCCGAACCAACTATTGGAAGAAGTTTGGAGATCACTAGTGTGTATGGTAAATATTAGTTAAAAGGACAATAAATCCCATTTTTCTATGCAATTCTAACACCGATGGACAATAGCCTGCAGTAGAACTCTTCTAATAGCTATGGTGGAATCTAATATATAATCACTTCATGTACGAAGGTTAATAACTGATACATACACTGACAATGAACTGTAAATAGCACGATCGTGCTCGAGTGTTTGTGCACTATAATTCCGGTTATTCAGATAATGCTCGCCAGTAATAATGGTAACATACAAACAATAATTTCACACCAACCAAACAGGTAAATAAGCGAAAAGTAAACCGACGGACACAACAGTACCCTCACCACACAGTTCAGATGCTTAAGATACAAAAGTGACGCCACAACCTTCAAATGTTAATGCATCGTATAGAACATCCAATGTCTTTATGAGTTAGTGTAAACCAATTTCCTCTTCCGTGCTCACTTTTAGATATTTCAGAAAGCTTCCAGGTTATTGATTGATTCCGATGCAGGAGGTCCACCTACTCACCTGCTGTAACTGTGGTTAATCTGACAGGCAGTTAGGTCTTGAATAAATTTGTAGTGATTATATGGTTTTTCCAAGAACCATGATGCGTATGCGTTGCTCGTTTGTCATGCCACCAGTCAGTTTTTCAAACTGTTCATGAGAAGAAGATATAAAGTATGTTCAGCCAAATTAAGATACAGAAAGTGAGGAGTAAAAACAAGTTGAAAAGTAGCAGAACGAAAATAAAGAAACCTTGGTAGGTTCCAGGGAGACAACAGTTAAAGGCGAAATTTTAACGGAGATGGCGAGACCATAGAGCCAGGGGATTTCAAAGGGAAGAGAAGGAGCAAGTAAGATTACAGGACAGATTTTGGAAAGAGAAGTGTTTATGTTATTATTAGGGGTATGATAACAGGAGGTGAGACGCCTAACATGGAAGCAAAAGGTTAGCTCAGGTTAGCAATGAAAGTGATAGTGCAGGTGATTTAGCATCGGGCCGTGTTCCTACCTGACAGAAAGAGACAACCTGTACTCTTTTCAGTATCATCAACACTAGGCATAAGAAAGTTCCTCTATGGATCACTATCTTTGCCATAATGTCGGGAAAAAGGATTTAAGTTTCATCGCCCCACCCCTGAGTCCTATCATATTGCTGCTAAGGTTCTCATGCTCGTTTTTATCAGGCAGGTGCTTTCCGTGACTGCATCTGCTGTTACTAAGGCGTCAGCGTAATAATTTGGCTCTCATCGTGTCAGTATAAATTAGAGGAAGCTTAAGGAAGAAGAGGAGCTATTGTTACACACTCAGAGGTCTTTTCTCACTACAACTACGTTCAACATGTTTTTTCCCTAATTTTATACTATGTCTACAGAATGCCGGTTAGAAGCTGTAGCGTCATACACTTCCCCAAAATCAATAGCCTAGGGTTTGACGACTTTCGACATTGATGCTGACCCTGATTGTTTAACTGGACTCGCTAAGCTGAAGGCACCCGGTCAAGCATCCTCGCCATTTGGCACGCTGTCGTGTTACGTTGCATTGCTCGTATTCGACTCTCTAGCCAGTTAGTTGGAACGCATCGGTATTTTGGCATAACCATCCAAATATACTATTCCATCCGACTACGCTATCGTGTTCTTCCTTGGTCTCGTATTCGTGGGTATATAACAAGTTCGAATAATTAGTGATTGGTCTTTGCGTCTGTCAAGTTCGCACCAGGACAAATCCTAAATTGGTGAGCCCGACGTGATCAAATATCCCGACGTGATCACATATCCCGACCAATAACAAGTATTGAATTGGTGAGCCTGTTCCATTTTATATTTGTTTATTGTTTTCATTTCGATAACATTTATATATCCATTTACTACACTTTCTCATGTCCGACCACACTCCCAAGCTTATTCGTATTAAGCCGACTCGAACACGATCCAACTCGTGCCATATTGGCCAGACAATGCAGAAACATGGTTTCTGTATGCCGAGGCCGATTTTCGAGAACAGGGTGTCTCAGATCCTCATTCTCGATTTCTTGCTGTCATACGTTCACTACCGCGAGAATTAAACAGGTATGTTACAGCAAACATGTTTAATCCTGAAGTAAGTGACCCTTATGCACTTCTAAATGCCGCACTCTTGAAGAAAAGCGATCTCACAGATCGCCAACGTCTAGACGAATTGCTTCGTAACATCGAGCTAGGCAGCCACTCAGCTACTGAAGTCCTCGCACGCATGCGAGAAGTAATCGGTGCACGAACATTTGACGATGGTTTCTTCCGAGAACTATTTCTCTCGAAACTACCACAACCGGTGCAAACCGTGTTGGTGACACTCCAGTCAGTCCCACTCGACGACCTGGCAGCCTCAGCAGATAAAATACTGGAGATATCCAGCAGACCCGTCTCCAACGTATATTCTATCTGCGACAAACCAGAGCGCCAGGATTCGGAGGTGACCAAGTTGTGCAACTCTGTGAAACGGTTGCTACGATCTCGAAGTCCTAGATCACGTAGCACTTCACAGAAACGCACCTTGGCGCATCGCAGCAAGTCGCGTGGTAGCCCTAAAACGAAACCCAACAGGGTGGAAAACCCTGAATGGTGCTGGTTTCATAACACTTACGGGGATGAAGCCAGAAAATGTCGTAAACCATGCCGTTTTAAGAAGGACACAAACTCGGGAAACGGTCACGCCGGCACGTGCTCACGGCAACCGTAGCCGGCGGAAAAAGCCGTTTGCTCTACGTCACCGACATTAAAACGAAAGTCCGCTACCTCGTCGACACCGGCGCAGAAGTTAGCGTTCTTCCAGCAACGACAAAGGAGCGTCATCTCGACCCATCCTTCAATCTTCAAGCAGCCAACGGCAAGGCAATCGCGACATTCGGGAGACGGTATGCCTACCTCAACTTAGGTTTACGCAAACCTATTCACTGGATTTTCCTCCTGGCAGACGTCTCTATGCCCATCATTGGCATAGATTTGCTAAACCATTACGATCTACTCGTAGATGCTCGCCGTCGACGACTGATAGATAACAACACAAAGTTATCTATTGGCGGCACCACCTATGTAGGTCCGAGTTTAGCCATCGTTAGGACTAAACAATCAGGCGACGCGTCCTACCAGGCAGTTCTGGAGAAATATCCAGAGTTACAACAACCGAAACACACTCTTCCGTGCATAACCAGCAATGTTATGCATCACGTCACAACCACAGGTCCACCTGTGGCATCCAAAGCGCGCCGTTTAGCCCCCGATAAGCTCCAAACGGCGAAAAATGAATTCGACCATATGCTCGAACTGGGCATTATCAGACCGTCGAACAGTCCTTGGGCATCGCCATTGCACATGGTTCCCAAAAAGGATAGCAACGACTGGCGTCCGACCGGTGATTACCGAAGGCTTAACGCCAAAACAACTCCGGACTGCTACCCTATACCCCACGTTTACGACTTGACCGCAACCTTATGCGGCATGAACATTTTCTCGAAAATCGATCTGGTCAAAGCGTACAACCAGATACCTATGGCAGCAGAAGATATCGCGAAAACAGCCATTATTACTCCTTTTGGCCTGTTTGAATTCCTGCGCATGCCTTTTGGTCTTCGGAATGCAGCACAAACATTCCAACGCTTTATGGACGACGTCTTCCGTGGTCTGAATTTTGTTCATGTCTACATCGATGACTGTCTAATTGCGAGTCCAGATAAGGAAACTCACCTTAAACATTTGGACCTCGCATTCGAAAGACTCAAAAAACATGGCATCACAGTTAACTTACAGAAGTGTGAAATAGGAGTTGAATCACTCAGCTTCCTTGGGCATACCATTGACAACAAAGGTATACGCCCATTGAGAGATAAAGTGGCGGCTATCACAAACTATCCAGAGCCGACCACTGTGAAACATCTCCGCACTTTCAATGGCCTGGTAAGTTATTACCGAAGGTTTATCCCTAACTGTGCCTCTGTCATGAGACCACTCACAGATCTACTTCGAGGAACTGCGAAGTTCGTGTCTCTGGACAACGCGGCTAGACTTGCTTTTTCTAAAGTCAAGGAAGCCATTTCGAACGCAACCATGCTTATGCATCATGACCCCAATGCTCCTCTGAGTATTGCTGTTGATGCATCTGATTCAGCAATTGGAGCAGTTTTGCAACAGTTGACTGACAACCAGTGGCAACCGTTAGCCTTTTTCTCGAGGCGGCTGCAAGACGCGGAAACAAGATACAGTACATTTGGTAGGGAACTCCTAGCCATGTACTGTTCTGTACGCCATTTTCGACATTCTGTGGAAGGTCGTGATTTCATTATTTTCACAGACCACAAACCGTTAACGTTTTCCCTCAGCTCGGCGTCTGACAAATACTCCCCTCGTGAGTCGCGACAGCTGGATTACATTTCCCAGTTCACGTCAGACATCCGCCACATTTCTGGAGCAAACAACTCCGCAGCCGACGCACTATCTCGAATAGCTTCGATAAACTATATCGAGGGTATTGATCTCGTTGAACTAGCTCGGCGTCAAAAGGAAGACCTTGAGCTGCATCATGAGTTGTCGTCCACAACTCTCAAACTGCGACTTTGTCCTGTTGGATCAGACAAGGATGCAATTTTGTGCGATGTCTCTGCTAGTCAACCACGCCCAATAGTTCCGAAGAGTTGTCGACGCAACGTCTTCAATACGTTGCACAAACTCTCTCATCCAGGTGTACGAGCCACCATTAGGCTTATCGCACAACGTTTCTGCTGGCCTGGGATGAACAAAGACGTTAAGGAGTGGGCCCAGTCGTGCTTAGCTTGTCAAAAGTGTAAAGTCACGCGACACACGAAAAGCCCTTTAGGCTCATTTCTAGCCCCAGACATGCGTTTCGACCACGTCCATATAGATATTGTAGGACCCCTACCAGAATCTAATGGATGTACCTACCTTTTCACCTGTGTTGATCGTTTCACACGATGGCCGGAAGCAGTACCCATTAAAGATATTACTGCCGAAACAGTTGCTCGTGTTTTCGTCGAAAGATGGATCGCGAACTTCGGATGTCCATCCTACGTCACAACCGACCGTGGGCGCCAATTTGAGTGTGGACTATTTCACGCTCTAACGGCACTTTTAGGTTGCACTCGGTTCCGAACGACAGCCTACCATCCACAAGCAAATGGCATGGTAGAGCGTTTCCATCGACAGCTGAAAGCTTCCCTTTCAGCTACAAACATACCTCAGTGGACCGAGGCTCTGCCTCTAGTCCTACTAGGTATTCGTAACGCGTTGAAAGTTGATGCTGGATGCACTCCTGCAGAACTCGTCTATGGGACCACTCTTCGCCTACCAGGTGAGTTTGTTTCCCCTTCAACTTTCAAACATGTTTCCGACAGG